GTGGCATGTGATGGAGCTTGACTGGTGTTTGGCCAGTTACACGCAAAGAAAATAGAAAAAGGCAGAAGGGGGAAGCAAAGAAACATGGAGAACAGCTCCTCTCCTGCCCTCCAGAGCAGGGAGTTAAACCGGGGGGAGGTCAGGACGCGACACCCCCTTCCCTCCTTTCGGCAGAGCAGCAGCTCCAGGCACAGCCTTTCCAGTGCGCCCAGCACCAGGCACAGCCCCGGCGTGTCCCCAGCCACGCACAGCACCGGGCTCCTGCTCCCTCGCTGTCCTTCCGCCCGGCCCCGGGAGGGGAGAGCAGTTCAGGTGGCAGTTGGATGGCATGGCTGACGGTCCATGCGGGCAGCAGCGTCCTCAGCGTGCTGCCAGGCACAGTTGGGATGGATGCCGAGGTGGCCAAGCTTTGTGCTCCAGCCCCCGGTACAGTCCGGCTCCCGCCTCCCTTATAGGAAACCCTCCTTCCGGAACTGCTCCTTCAGGATGTCTCTGTACTGCTCAAAGCCACCCTCGATGCGGGTCACGGTGGCGTTTTCACACACCCACAGCTCCTGGCACACCAGGCGGATGAAGCGCTCGTCGTGGGACACCAGAATGATACCACCCTGCCAACACACAACGGGGGGAAGAAAAGGGAACATCATCAGAGCACAACCCAGGGCGCAGCGCTGGCAGCACCTGCAGCGTAAGGTATTTAGCCTCCCCTCTCAGAAGGTTCACAAAGGGGTTGTTACTGGCCCTCCCCATCTCCAGCAACTGCAAGGATGGAGATGCCAGGTGGAGTCAGTGACAGTCAAAAGGTGGCTGGACCAGGTCCTGAGTAAACTCAATTGAGCTTTTTTTCCACAGGAAAACTGTCTCAATACAGGCAACTTCTTGGGGCTTTTCAAGACTTAAAGGGGGCCTATAAGAAAGATGGGGACAAACTTCTCATCAGGGCCTGTAGTGATAGGACAAGGGGTGATGGTTGTAAATGAAAAGATGGGAGATTTAGACTAGATGGAAGGAAGACATTTTTTACAATGAGGGTGCTGAAACACTGGCACAGGTTGCCCAGAGAGGTGGTAGAAGCCCCATCCCTGGAAACACTCAAGGTCAGGTTGGACGGGGCTCTGAGCAACCTGATCTGATTGAAGATGTCCCTGCTCACTGCAGGGGGGCTGGACTAGATGACCTTTAAAGGTCCCTTCCAACCCAACAAACCAGCAAGAACCAGGTTGATCACAGTGGTATCTGGAGTCTTTGGAGATCAGCCATAAAACGTCCCTAAGGAAGATGTGAGAGGCCCCAAGGCAGGGCTGAGCACCGCACGCAGCACGAGAAGTCACAGGGTGGAGGTGACTAGCCAAGATGGGGGACAAGGTGCTCTCTGATCTGCTGGTGTGTCTCTCAGCCAGCCCTAGCCAAAGTCAGCAAGTGAAACAAACCACCAGGAGGGACTGCTAAAGCAGAAATGTGACTGACCCTTCCCAACATCTGTCCTGGACTTGAAGCCACCACTGGCATTTGACTGTCCACCTCTGGCTGAGATACCAAGTAACCTGAGCTGAAGGCTGCAGGGAGCGTTAGAAAACCAGGAGATCTCACTGAGCGAGCCTTACCCGGAACTTATTCAGTGCCTTTGCCAGTGCCTCAATGGTCTCCATGTCCAGGTGATTTGTCGGCTCATCCAGGATGTAGAAGTTTGGACTGGAAGAGAAGACAGCTCTGAGCATGCCCTGGAAGAGGCCTGGGCTGGGTCCACACCCCTCCGCACTGTGGGGACCTCCACCAGGCTGCTGTGTTAGCCAGGAAAAGCTGCAGCCGCTGGCATCTGCATGGCCCCAAGACTGGCATTGCCCAGCTTCAGGGTCATCTATCCCTGTGAGCCCAAAGCAGCAGGAGAAAGCCACCTCCCTCCTGCCACGCAGTTCCCCCAAGGTGACAACCTCCCTCCTCACCAAAGTCCCAAGGATGAGGCATCCACAGGGCAGCAGGAAGTCCCTGGGTGCCCACTTTCCTCCCGGTGAAGCAAGCTCCTGGGATGAGGCCATGCAAAAACTAACAGCATCTGGGAGCAAATTACCAGGACATAGTCATCTGGGCAAAGGCCACGCGACTCTTCTGACCTCCAGACAAGCTGGCCACGGGACGCACAGCCAGCTCCCCGGACACGCCGTAGCTCCCCAGCTGATGCCGGTACTCCTCCTCCGTCTTCCCTGCAGGAGCATGTCACAACACAGCTATGGCACACCCAGTGTGACACAGGCACCGTGAGATCGGTGGGCGCCGCGGCCGGACAGCCAGTACAGCCAGTGCCAGACCAGCACGGTGAGGGGGGAATTCAGCAGCCACCGCCAGGCAATTCCCTCCTGGGAAAACCTGACTGACACAATCAGGACAGGGGCTGCCAGGCTGGTGATGGGCTCTGAGTGACGCTGCCCCCAACTCTCTGTCACCGTGTTATGTCATGTTCAGTGGAGAAGGGAGTGGGAGGCTTTGACAGCCGGGAAAGGGGGAGCTGGTGCTTGTTCTGTGCCCAGCAGGGCAGCAAATCATCAGTCCCCCAAACCTGGTCAGGGAGGAGCAGCAGCCTGAGGTCTGCAGGCTGCCAGCTACCCCTGCACAACCAGCTCAGCTTCTCAAGGCTGGTGTCCTGAGCTTGTGCTGGACGTGGGGAGTTCACCCAGAGCACGTGGTGTCCCTTAAGCACCGATATGACAGAGCCTTCCACCCAGGGCCACGGAACAGACTGATGCCGCTCTGCATGTGCCAATCCGCGTGTGGCAAAGGAGACCTCAATGGCCCAGATCTCCTGGAATCACCAAACTCACCTGGGAACTTTCTTGCCAGCAACTCCACAGCACTGATGTTCAAGTCCAGTTGATCCACATGGTGCTGGCTGAAATAACCGATCTTTAGGTTCCTGCAGCAGGAGAAGGGAGATGAGGAGCTTGTACCAGGCCCTACAACCACAGCGCTCGCAGCTGCAGCTGCAGCTACAGGAAGGGGGGCACATGCGTGGGTGCAGCTGCACCATTCCTCCCAATCCCCCAGCCCTTCCTCCCAGGTACCTGTGAGCATGTCTGATCCCTCTGACTGGTGCCAGCTCCCCCATTAAGATCTTTAGCATGGTCGACTTGCCAGCTCCATTCTCCCCAACCTAGAGAAGCAGCAGCAGCATTGGAGAACGTGAAACCCATGGAGGTACTTCAGAGAGGGGGGAGTTTCAGCTCTCTTGGATGATCATGCAGCAGAGGAGGGGCAGGATGAGAGTCTAACCAGCAGCTCCAGCTACCTGGAAGCTGCATTTCTATCACTGAGGAGCAGCACAGGCAGCAGTGTTGGAAGATGTTCCCTCCCCAACCCTCGAGCCTAAGGATTACCTGTTCCCAGCCTCATTTGTAAGCAAACAGCATCTCTCTGCTGCCCCATCCAACGCAGCAGGAACCCCAGTACATGTTGCTGTCGTCAGCCAGCTAACAGGGAGTTACAGAGAAGATGGACCCAGTCTCTTCTCAGAGGTGCCCAGTGAAAGGATGAAGAGCAACAAGCACAAGTCACAAATTCTAATCAGTATTAGGAAAAATGTTCCTCATAATAAGGATGATCGAATGCTGCAATGGGACCCCAAGGAATGGGAGGAGTATTCCTCCCTGGAGACATCCAAAACTCAACTGGGTAAGGACCTGAGCAACCTGACCTAACATCAAAGTTGGCCCTGCTTTGAGCAGCAACCTCCTGAGGTCCTTCATAGCCACCGTTTATTCTGCAGTCCCACGTACCACGCAGATGCGGGACTCCAGGTCGGCAGAGACGGAGAGGGAACGGAAGATGTAGTGACTTGGGTCATAATAGAAGTCTACTTCGTCTAGCTGCAGGATTGGGGGGGAGAACTTCTCAAAGCCATCAGGGAACCTGGGAAGGCAGGAAGAGATGAGAGATGGCCAGAAACTTCAGAGACTGCAAAGGTGATTGTCCCAGCTGGGACGGGACTCAGGAGGAGCTCATATCAGAAATGGAGCCAGGCACCCTCCAAGCAAGGGCTCAAGGACACTTACTTCATGATCACCTCAGACTCCTTGTCCACAGGTTTCAGCTCTGGCCTGCAAAAGGAGGAGACAGGTAACTGAGACACCTTGTACTAGGGGTCTGTTCCACACCAGAAGCCTAGATAAGAGTCTTCAGCTCTGGGATGCCTCATTGTAGCTTTTTTCTCCCCGTGAGCACTGACCCCTCCCCAGCTCCAGAGAGAAGCAGGACAAGCACTCACAGCTTCTCCAACAGCTTGAGCTTGCTCTGCACTTGGGATGCCCGGTTGGCATTGTAGCGAAAGCGGTCGATGAAAACCTACAAGAGAGAAAAGCATCACAGAACCACAGGTCCCCTTCAGCCGCAGCCATCCCCCTCTGCTGCCAAGCCTCCTGCAACAGCAGAGCCACATCCACGGGTCTAGAAGCATGGAGAAAGGGACAAGGCTGGGAGAAGAGTACCCCAGCACCACTGGCTTCTACCAGTACCTGGATGTGCTCACGGTACTGCTGCTGGGCTTCGTACTCTCGCTGCTGGTTCTTCAGCCGTTCCTCCTTGATCTTCATGAAGTTCTCAAAGTCCCCACGGTACGTGTCCAGCCGCTGCGAGTGCAGATGGATGATGTCCGTAGCCACTGCGTTCAGGAAGTTCCTGTCGTGGGACACCACGAGGATGGTCGACTGCCAGGTCTGGAGGAGACAGCAAGAGCAAGGCCTGAGCATCATCAGGCCAGAGCGCAGGGCTTGGTCCCACCACCCAGCGAGGCGAGACACCAGCCTGGAG